TGAGCTGGAAACTGCTCTACAATAAGAATGGCGATTGCTTAATTCTGCGGTGGTTGACCACCTAATTGAAAGCATGGTCACAAGGTGTAAACTTTGTATACAGATGAGGGAAGATCACATACCCTATTAATGTCCCTTTTTTTCATTTTATGTTGTTTATTTTCACTTTATACACAATTCTCTTTAAGTCTCCAGTATGTCATTATCTGATAACTTACAAACATTTAATATTGTTTTCATTTCTGTATATAATTATTGATCACGCAATCAGTCCCAAAACATCACTGAACATCACGCATTCCGAGGCGGAAGCATTATGGTGTGGGCAGGGATTTCCTTAAGATACCGCCCCGACCTGCACGTCGGGCGGTATCTGTATCTAATTGTGTATAAAATGAAAATAAACAACAAATATGTTGTTTATTTTCACTTTATACACAATTCTCTTTAAGTCTCCAGTATGTCATTATCTGATAACTTACAAACATTTAATATTGTTTTCATTTCTGTATATAATTATTGATTTTGTTTTATGCATAAATATGTATGCTACTTTCCTGCCGAATTTTGTGTCAATTAAAGCAGTATTTGTTGATTTTTATTTTTATTTATTTATTTATTTATTTTTTTTTTTTTTTTTTTCATTTTACATCTTTGTACTTAACGTTTGGAAATGAGTGTATATTTCATTTCAAATGCTACTGGATGTTTGTTAAAATGAAAGGTGCTACTTTGGTAGACGGTTGCACGGATGTTTGGCGATTTACTTTGGCGCAATTGTTGGCGCGGTTTTCACAATCGTCAGCCATCTAAAAATAATGGATTAATTTTTTTTGGTGAAAACGTTGTTTAAGATGGCAAGCAAATGTAAATAAATACATTTACTACTAGTATAAAATACTAAAGTGAGGTTAAATTATTACTTTTATATAGCACAGAAGTAGAATAAAAACACCGCTATAAAAACATTGCGCCAACGTTTAATTGGATTAAAATATTACGTAAATTTAATATCGAATTAAAAACCATCATACCAACGTTAAAAGAATTAAAATATTATTTACATATATGAAAATGAATTGAAATATTTACCTCAAATCGAGAAGCTGGCTGAAAAATGTAGGCATAATAATAAACAAAGCCAAACATCCATTTCACAGTTTTTTTTTTTTCAAAAGTGTAATTCGTGTTTTAATTAGTTTACTTTCTACTGCATATCTTCTGCTTCATTTTATGATTCAGGTAAATCTTTATTGCTTTTTAATATGTTTAATTTTAGATAGCATAGTATAAGATATTTTCTGGATTTATACATACTAGGAGACGTTTCTTCTTCAGTAATACACTTTTAAAGTTATATTTTCTCTTAACATCTTAATTCGAATTCTTTTCTGAGAACCTTTGAGTTCGAATTAACGAGCGTCCACTGTATTAGAATCAGTATCGAACACTGGTCAGCAGAACTTAGGACTTCAAAATATTTTGAATTTAGGAAGGCGTGACCTGATAGAATATAGGAATCACAGAGATTGCACCGGGCGGTATAAACTTAACGCTGGCTTTGGTTACTTTTTATTGATCGTTACTGAAAACAAGTTTAATGTCTGGATTCTGCACTTATTAGACTACGGTAAAACCTGTTGGGCCATCTGCTTAAAATGAGAAGCGTCTTTGTGGAGTACTTTCTAATAAAACCTCGAAAACTATTTTCTATTCACTTTACATATAGGAAATTCCATGAAAGTTTAACGATTCTGTGTTTCACAGCATAAAAAGAACGCAACAGAAACGTCAAAACTGTAAGTTATTCGAATGTGGATCTTTCGTCGCCTCAGATATCCAGTATTTCACATTCGAGATTACTGGCAACAGATAACACTTGTGAGGAATTTACGTAAATAAACGATCATTGTTTTGCTGATTTCTTCGAAGATGATATAACAAATATTCATAACAAATATTCATTGCGAGCAAATAAAATTCTGACGTTTTGGGAAATACTGATAAATAAAATGCAGAGTAACTGAAATTCGTTTCATAGGATTACAAACTCTTACGCTATAAATTTTATTCTTTTAATTTACGTTTTATACACTATTATTTTAAAGTAGGAATTCACTTTTGAGTAACTGCAAGAGGTTGTCAGAGTAGTTTTTGGTCTCATCTGCTTTCACAACAAAAAGATCGCAACTAAATTAAAAGGTCAAAATAAAACTGTTTATTAACACGTGTATCTGATTAGCAGGCAAACTAAACGTTTAACAGACGATAAGTTAAACTGAAACAGTAGAAAGTTAAAAGAGTAACTGTCAACTTGTGTTGCCAATCGCTTTCCGTCTAAAAAACTTCGAAAGTAGAAGCTACTTTATAATTAATTTGCATTAGGATGGAAGTTGACGAAAATAGACGTTACAGTAGAACAAAAATAGTAAAATATCTAAGTTAGTTAAAATAAAAGCTTGCAAGTTTTCTTACCATTTCTTACCAGACATTACGATTTTTTGGAAGCAGGAGACGTGAAAAATGTGCAGTGCCCTCGCCGGAACTCGAACCGCGGACCTCTCGAATTCGCGTCGAGCGTGCTGACCACTACACCACGAAGGCATGTTAAGAAGGCGGGAAATACCTTATATACTCCCCCTTTAAAATAGCGACTGAGGATTAGGGGACCCAGTCACCAAATCCTAGTGGTGGAGAATCATTATCCATCACCTTTTTTTTTAGTTCGGGAGCCACTAGAGACATTAGGATTTTTTGGAAGCAGGAGACGTGAAAAATGTACAATGTCCTAGCCGGGACTCGAACCACGGACCTCTCGAATTCGCGTCGAGCGTACTGACCACTACACCATGAAAGCATGCTAAGAAGGCGAGAGAAATACCTTAGAACCATTACCTAAATATTTAAAATTTACAACTATCACATCAAATTGCAACCAAAATACTCACAGATGTATAATAAATCAAAAGTTGTAACATTTGTATGTCCTAGCTGTGTATCAAAGTTGGACAAAATGCAATTGCTATTTGGAGCAAGTAATGGCACTTACATTGTAACTGTAATTATATTATTATTAGTTCCAATGGAATTGCTTTTTCGATTACAGTTACATAGTAACTGTAAAATCTAATTAAAGTTTCAATATAATTGCATATACAGTGTAATTGTAATTACATATTAATTGCATAATCTACAATTACAATATGAATACAACTGTAATTAAAATTTTAATATAAGTAATTTTAATTGCAGTAGATGGTTACGATATAATTATCATTTTAACGCATTAGATAACTACAATTACGCAATCAGGAAAGTAACTGTTTCTGATAATTTCCGTTACATAGCTTAGGGAAACCGTGATCATAATTGAAAACTACAGTAATTGACAGTACATCCGAAATGGTTCACTATTTTGGATACCAAGTTGTTAAATAATTCAAAGGGATAGTCGCATGTAACAATATTTTTAGTGTGTTCCATTTGGAATCATCTTGCTTAATTGTTGCGTTACTGCAGCTTGTAATAGCAAAGCAAATTCTCAACTAATCCTTAACTTCTAACCACATATGATTTCAGTAAATATGTAAAAGGAATAAAGCAGAATGTATTTACAGGAACTAATTTAGGCTCTTTCATACAGAACTAAATACGCATAACTTTGTTAAACAAATATGCGTGATTATGATGTTTGCTGACAGATATATTGTTTTATTAACGGAAAGTAAACAAAGACTGTGCACCTATGGAAGGAGATGCTTTGGGGAAGGATTTATTAATCGAACTGATCTTTTTAAAATATATGTAAAATAACAAATTTTAAAATATATGTAACATTTCACCTAATGGCGTCTTTATTTACGTAGGGGAATATTATGTGCCTTCGCATCTTCTTTGTATGTAATGAAACTATAAAATATATACATATACAAAAATAAAGTAAGATTACTATACTTTGCCTATTATTTCTATGAATATATTTGAAAAGTATTCTTAAAGAGTGTTACTACATTCATAGATCCCAAGGACCATCGAATTACGCGTTCTTAAGTCGAATTATGCGTATCGAATTATGCGTATAAGTTCTTAACGAGTTTTAAACAGTTTTACAAGTTAAAGATTAGCAAAAATGTTTGAAATTCTGCTTAAATAGCTAATAATAATAGTTATAAAATATAATAATACTCGTAATTCTGATTTATATTTAGAATTTTGTAAAGCTGTTATCTGAAAGCTAATAAACACTCTGAAATTTAAATCAAATAAAATATTTATAAATCAAATTTTAATTCCATTAGCAATATTCAGCGGTGTCTACTTTATTATCTGATTTTTCTTTAACAGGGAAAGAGAAATATTTCTTTTAATCTCTGTTTCATAAGTTTCACTTCCGACTTTAGCTTCTTCAGCACCTGTACTTCACGTATTTCAACATTCTAACATCTGGTTCACATCATTCTAAGATCCCTGGTTCTTGTATCTTTTTAGAACATTGTACGCTATAATAAACAGCTTTTTATTCTCAGCACACTGTTTTATGTTTCCGCTTCATTCCCGATATAATAAAATAATTTTACTTTTCTGATGGCAAAACCACAGTATCGTATGGTAATAACATCAGAAAAGTAAAATTTTATTATTTGAGAAGCAGTGCCCTAGATAATCAGAACTTAAGGTGAAACCGAGAATAGGATTAAGAGTGTCTAGTATTCTTTCAAGGATTTCTAACATTCCTGTTAATTGTTTCCACGAAGGAAAATAGGATTACGCGGAATGATAGATAATTTTGGGCAGCCTAAAATATGAGACAGTAGGCTCTGGGCTTATGAATCTAGGTGGCTAACATACAACGTCTGTCATAAGTATAAAAACATTAGTCATCATAACCATTTTCAAACTTTTTTTAAAATTAAGCATGAATTAGTATACATTAAACCTACAGAAAATATAAAATGTAATTGAACATCAGTATTTGAGAATGATTAAGTAAATTAACTTACATCGGCTTGCTTTCATCTCAGCTATAAACTTATTGAACTCTTCTCTGGATATACTCGCCGGCACATCAGACTCTGTTTCTGGCGGTAAAGATAAATCGGGTAGACGTGAGACTCTAGTCGATGGAGGAGAATGTAAAGCAGAAGTATTTACTGGCACATGGTTCTCTGATTGAACATTGGGAGTAGCACTCCTTCCCATTTTGTTGGTAGTTGTCGAATTATTTCGTCGATTGACCCTACGGGAGCGTAGAGACCTTTCAGCCACTTCACTTGTATGATCTAATGACCTAGCATAAAGCATTAAACGTCTGCTTGTATTATTCATATCATTCGTATGGTTTTGTCCTGAAACATTATGGGAGGAAGTAAGGTCTGCTATATCAGAGTCCATTTTAGACGAATCGGTGGCTTTTGTAGGATAGCTGATGGCTTCTGATTCAGAATTTTTTACATCTTCACTGTTAAGATGCAGCTCTCTGAAAGGACCGTGAAAAAACGTTTTTGCAACATATCTTGCCAATTTTACAGAACTTATGCTTTGGTTGTTTCTCAGTATCTCTACGCCGTTACCACTGTGGGTGAGATTCGAATATTTCAAATCATATATCACATTGTCATGAGGAGTTTTTGGTATACAGTTTGTTGAACAGGGTTTATGAACAGCGCTTTCGAAAGTATTTTCTTGAAGTTTGCTCAAGTTTGAATGTCTCTCAGTTTGATTTACATTGGAAAACAAATCATCTTTCACAAACAAATGCACACTTGTATTATCATGATGAAAACCACCATTTGAGGCAAAGTAAAGCGATTCTTGGTGTGTGTTTGCTATTGCTTTACTATGTTTTTTAACGGAAAGATTTTCAGTTCCTTTTTTAAATAAAAGTTCAGAGCTCGGGCTGTAAGAGTTATTTGATGCCTCAGAATCATTGCTCCATACTTCTTGTACCTGAGCATTTAAATAACATGGTACTACAGCCATTAGAACAAAGCGATAAATAATGCACAGACTTGGTTGTTTGCGATCCATTGTGGGTATCTGCTCGAAGAAAAATATTTTTATTGCCAACAAATGAATAATTTAGTTAAAATTTTCTTTAAACAAAAAATATTAGAACAAAAGCTTAAAATGATAAAAATATGTTTGAAAATAATGTCAACAAAATAAATAATTAAAAAAAAATTTAACTAATAAGGTTTACTTAAGTACCATTTCAAAATGATTTAAAGGGAATTTATTCGGACGGCAGATTCAAACGATGTGATTAAATTAGAAAATTCAATCATTACTTATTGCTAATTTGAATAAAAAGAGAGCTACGTGCATTTCAGAGAAGACCACTTTTCTTAATTTTCTTTTGCACTTTGCTCAGACACTCAGTTATCACTGGGAGGGGAAAAAGTAATGAACGAAATGAATTAAATAAAGAAAAAAATGTGATTTGACCAGCACATGACCGGCCGCCAATTCTTCTCGTTTTCCCAATTTTATTTCGATATAATCAAATGTCTGTCCTTTTATGTTTTTATTAAAATTTTTATTTTATTAATCAGTTGAAATTTGCTAAAAGTTTAAAATCTAAACAAGAAAATATAATCCGACGTTGCATGGTTTACTACTGATCGGTTTTCGAGTGTTTTCCGCTGGCAAGAAATGGGAAATAACTTTAGAAGAGTATTCAGCTTATAAGGACCTATCAGGCTCTCCCGTGCGTGCTCTATTGGTGTGTTTTGGTACTAAGACTATCTATCTAACAGCCGAAAGATCTGTAATTCGCCGCCCAACCGGTTAACGTTGCTGACTGTCGTACCGAAGGGTCCGGATTCGAATCCCGGAGAAGATATGGATGTTTGTTAATTTATAGTGTCCGTGCAGCACTCTAAATATGCAGCGAGCCGAGAGTCCTCTCGACGAGAGGTTGGTGGTACGAGAAGATGGGTGGAGACATGTGAACCCCCCGGGGTGCTCTTCATCAAAATTGGGGGACGAAACTGAGCAAAGTGGCACTGTCACCTCTCAAGGCTGTTGCCAATGAAAGGCGTAATCCTGCGCTCCTTGCCATGAGGAATTTCGTGGGCTTGAGTTGACTATAAGTCAAACACGTGAGCATTAGTCAACAACAGTAACAGATCTGTAATTCAAATACCATGTCGGTTTTTCGTGTTTTTTCGCTTGGAGGGTCCTAATAGACTTACAAATTAACTGAGAAGGAGTGTAACTAAAGTCTTTCTATGAAGTTAATGTACACTTCTTTAAAGAAATTCTCTAATTCCGCTGTTCTCTCTTATCAAGATGATTCTACGTGATTAACGTTTTCAGAGCACACAATCTATCTGCAACGAGAAGGCGAACACTTTATGATATAGTGGTGTCATCTTAGAGCCATGCGATGCATGATGCCATATGTTTACGATATTTAAAATTATGAAAAAAAGAATTATTATTTTTTTAATTCAGTAGTACAGTAAATTAATTACTCTACATATACGGCCTTGCATTAAATAATCGACTAGATGAATACAATCATTAGAATCAGAAATTTAAAACAAAACGATTTGCGTGCTATCATGTCTTTTCTAACCCTCGTCAGAGGACAATACATACTATCCAGTGTTTAGCATCCAGCTGACAAAATAATTTACATAGACACACGGAATTTTTTCTCACCTTCATTTCCTTCTAGAGTGTGTGAAAGCGGACGAATTTTTCCCTAACTGCACGCGATCACAATTTCATACTAACTGGTAGTGAATGCTAATTGTTTACCATGGAGTTTAGTGCAATGCATTGTTACGTTTTAGTTAAGGTAAAAATAAATTTTGATTTATACTTTACATTTAGTTTAATGCTGGCTTATTCTTATTTCGAGCTTATTTAGAAGTTCCGTATGATAATGTATTAAACGCGTATTATTAAATACAACATGCTTTTTAGAAATTTGAAGCATGACTGAAAGTGAAACAGAGGAATTTTAAAGAATTTAATTCAATACATGTTTAGATTTGAATCTTCCTCCGAAAACAGGAATTACTTGAAAATGAAAGACATGGGCAGTAAACTTAAAAGCAGGAAACAACGAGACCGTCTCAGCTACAAAGTGCTAGGAACTAATTAATAATTAGCTTATAATATTAAGGAATTTATATATTAAGGAATGTCTTTTGCCACGATCAGTTCTAAGTTATGTACTGAACATCTCCCGTTTTCTATTAGTATCAATTTTAATACATGAAGCATTTCCCTGAAATCTTAGCCGGCAGATGTACGATTTTAGAACATCTCAATTTTTGAGTTAAATCCTAATTCCAACCAGAGTGCACCAAAGCTCCAAATAAGGTGAATTGCAATATTCACAGTAAACACTGTTATTAACGTAATGTTTTATTAAGTACTTAGTAAAACTGTTATTGGCGTTAGAATTTAATGAATGTTTCAGTTTCCTCGGAAAGAACAAAATGCATGGGAAACCTTCAGCAATGGAGGAGGAAATCCTTTTGGTCAAAATAAGATCCCATCAAGAACAGAAGATTTTATGGATTGTATTCATCTGGTCAAAACATCTTTAAGCCAAAAGAATGACGCAATTTTATCTGAACGAGGATTAGTAAACATAGTTATTATCTTACTTTTATCGTTCCTCTCGACTGTACAGACATTAGCGGAGACTCACTGCAATTTTGAACAACATGTTAAGAGTTTGAATACCGCTGTAGTGTTCCTCCCTTTTATCTATTAACTAAGTGTGGAGGAACCTAGTGAACTGCTAAGCGAATAATCGCTTAAGTCCAGAAACAGAAACGTCACACTCAAGAAGGGTTAATTGCCCTTTATTGCTCAAACTAAAGGTGTACAGTCGGTGCCTTTCTCAGGACGTACAATAAAGCCTCCAGTTGTGCTTAAACTAAAAAATATAAGAAATAAGAACTTAACTAATGACTAACTAATGAGATTTAGCTAACTAGTAGGCCCCTAAATATCGAATTAGCTAGAGAAACTATCAAGGGCCCGTAATACGGCCGAGCGTAGTAACAGGTTAGAGAGACGTGGCTAAAAGTCAAACGCGCTAGTCAGAAACTCTGATTCTCTCTCTCGCAGTCGGTGGAACTTCGACTTAAATGCTACTCCTTTTCATTTGCATTTGACGCGATTCTAAAATCTCATTCTGGTAAGGATTTGTCAGCTGAAATTAGGAGTGATAGGAAAGGAGCTTTAACTTAAATAACTGTTATAAACTCAGGATGAACCTTACATCGCCTTAGTTGCTTGTGGTGTTCTCTCCTTCTCGCCAGTGTAATATAGGACTGTCCTTTGATGTGCACTATGTGAAGTGTTCTGGGTGATCAGACTGTTAAATGACTGATGGGTAGGACTATCTCTACCAAATGCGTGAGAAACAAATGTCTGATCATTTATTTTATTTTTTTGGGGGGCAGAGAACCCTTTTCTTTTAGATATCTTGCTGCTATGAATTTATTCACTTTTCATTTGTTTAATTAACTCATTTAAATTTTATCACTTTATTTTAATTTATTAATTTTGGTTTAATTTTCATATTTTAATCTATTATTAATTTATTTTTCGTTAGTCCAAATTATTAACATTTTATTTAATTATTCATTAACATTTTGTCTATTTTTATTTATTTTATTTATTTTTTTTTCACCATTCCTGATGACTTTCTATGGAGCTCTATGTTAGAAAAGTTTAGAGTTTTCGCGTACAAATGATCAAGAAGAGGTCTTCAGTTAAACAAGCAATTGAAAACATTCGTAAAACTTCATAGATGCGATATTAAAAGCAATAATATTTCTGATCGATATGTAAATCATATGCATTTCTTCATAAAACATGGCCTGCCATGTAGAGATCTTGATTAACGTATACGAAATCCAGTACTTTAAAACTAACTTTTAGTTCGTGCAGACAGTTCATAAGTTTTAAATAAACCTTTTTATAGAACTTAAATTTCGTTCTACACACCTCAATCAGTACAAAATAGATCACTGTTTTTGAAAAGATTTAACAAAACGTAAGAGTCAAAGTAAAACCTAAACAATTAAGTATATGATTTACAAAGCAATGTCCTATCTTAAGCTTTGGCTCAGGCCCTCACCTCAGCAAAGCCTCTAATCACGGCAGTATACAGGGCTAGCAAAAGGCTAAAACCTGTTCAGGTAATTCTAAGAGGTGGATGAAACTGATTCGGAAAAGGTCAGCGATCACTGCCAAAAGTTCTCTCTTAATTTCAAGAACTCTGTTCTTATACATATTAACTAAATTACATTCTGGTGAAGTAGAAGTGACAGCAAAGGTTAAAATAATAAGACTTTGGATTTATACAAATAAAAGTTGCTGATTTTACAAATTGATAAGTTTAAATAACACAAAAAATAAGCACAATTTAATATGGATATGTTTTAGAATCTTCGAATAACTTTATAGATTGCAGTTAAAAATTTCATATGAAAGCCGTAAAAGCGAAATACCTGTTACTCAGGGACCACCAGCGGCCGAGCGGTAAAGTCGCTGAACACTGGTAGTTCGGTCCGAGGTTCGAATCCCGCGAACGGGCTGGCTGCATGGGCGTTTTCGTGGTTCTCCCCCATGTGTAACGTGTATACGAGCCAGTTTTCTTAGAAAGTCCTCCACGAAGGCATCCCTTCCCTTAGGCAGATAGCCCTAGAGTGCTTTGCCATAATTAAATACATACACCAAATACACTACCTGTTACTCAATTAGTTTCAATCAAAAATTTTTTCCTCCAAACAGAATATGCACCGAAAACTGTGAAACCAGTTAACTGCAATATGAGAATGCAATTAGTTTAAGAAAATATGCAAAATGCCTTATGAAATATAAATAAGAATTTATGAGTTTTCTGAATTCATAGAATATTTTCCCCTTCTATTCCCATTTTCTCCAAAATTTTATTAAATATATTTAATACATTAATACTAGAGTCTGATTTTCAGCGTAGGTGTACCTGGAGAAAACCTGGAAGGTGGTAGAGGTATAATGGTTTGGGCAAGCAATTATGT